GAAGCAAGCAGCTAGGGCAAAACATGCTGCTGTGGACATGCATAGTCTGTCAAGACTCAAGTGTAGGCATAGGGCTACCTCAAGGTTAGACCTGGAAACCAGTGGCCCACTCTTTAATTTTTAACAAGTTCTGAGTGAATCTCTTGTGCAAATAGCCTGGCTGGATTTTCAGGCAATGAAGAAGGGTGCAAGCTGACTGCAGAGACATGCAGCTGAAGCAGAGCAAGAGGAGGCAATCAAGGATGTTAGGGCAATGCAGATAGGTTGTGCTGAAATTAAGCATGGACTTTTGCTTTTCTGACCTGATGTCGCTAAACCTTATGTTGCAGCTTACTAATAAATGCAATCTTTTTTGAAAAGTATTTGGCCTGTGCCACAACAGATGTCTGCTAGTTTTACAGCTGCCAAATGGGCAAGCAGAGTGCTGTTATAGGTACTTGAGCAGAAGGTTGTGACTGATGCCCTGATTCACAAGTTCAGGGGAGTGGTGGGCACTTCAGGCTTTTTGCTAACCACAGCAGTTGGCTCTCCGTACTTCTGGGGGGAGAGGCTGTCCTGAGGGCCAAATGGCTCAGTGGCTGGATTAATTTGTGCCAGTGTAGATGTCTAGAGCCAATTTAGGTGTACTGGAGTATCCAACCTACCCTCAGGTTGCTGGCAGTTCTGACACAGAGACTATGAGAGACCTACTCCCAGGGTGAAATTCCCTTGGATTCTCAGCTTGGCACTTATGTTTGGGCATGTTAACTATACCGAGAGTATCTCACATGGACTTAAGGTCTTTTGGACTTGCAGCTAGAAAAGGAGCTGAATCTGCGGACTTTATTTTAATGGGTTAGAGCTGTGGAGCTTCCTGTAGTAGAAAACTTAAACTGGGGATCTGGGCCTTACAAAGTGTAAGGAGCCCTCCCAGAGAATCTGTGTAAGGGTAAGGCACTGGCAGATACACACATACACACTTGTACTAAGTTTTGCCATCTCATTATATATTTCAGAGGGGATTTTTTTTTTTTTAAAGCAGTGTAAAAGTAGATCAACTGATAAATAAGAGCCTTTTTGTTGTGAGAGCTTGCTGAATTTGAGAAACTGCTTTTGATGCTATTGGCAAACACTTTACAGTATAAACAGGGCCTACATCAGACAGATAAATAAGTGCAGATGTGCTTTTCTGTAAGAACCATTTGGTGATAGACAGTATAATGGAAAAAAATTCTCATCAAATTAATTGTGACCAATTAGACATAACCCCTTCCCCTCATATCTGAATCCCCTCCAATTGCGGCTGCATGAATGGGAAGAGCTCCTGTCACCTGTTTCATTATGCAGATTGATATTCGAACATCTGAGAACAATGCTGTTTTCTGCACGGCATGGCTCCAAATTGCTAATGAAACAGCTCTGCCAGACAAGTCACTTAAACTCGCTCTCACTGCTGTTGTCAACAGCTCTCATGGCGAGATGTGGAGGGGAGTGGGAAAGGATCTCTACCCCCTGAATGTGCTAATAGCCCCCAGCCTGTGTGTTTATCACCCTCCAGAGCAGGAAGATTTCTGCTCTCTGACTGAGAGGTTACTTTTCCAAAGCCAAGGTCTGCTTTGCACTTAATGCTTCAAGATTTCAGTTTGTGGAGTGAAGGGTTGAAGAGGCACGCAGCTGCTGGGCTCTGAACACTGACATCTCGTGTCCCAGAGCTACCCCAGCCCTTCAGGCATGCTTGGTGTCTGCTTTCCACCCCCATCTGCAGCATTCACCTCGCCCACAATAGATGTGAAGCAAGTGGGATTTCTTTCATGGGTGAGAGTGTGTCACATCACCTTGGGTACAACTGGAGCCTCTCACGAACTCATGGTAAATGAGTGGGAGGATGCAAATGGGGTACATCTCTGCCTGGGGCTCTTTGGGTGCAGGACAGGCTGAGCCCTGTGGGTTCCCTCCCAGGCAATCATCCCTTGAGATAGGTGGAGCTGGGCAGCAGGACAGGTCTCCTGCTGCAGGCAAGTGTGAGGGGGGGCTTCTACATGTATGGGCCCTATGCAGCTGGATTTGGTCAGCCACTGGTGCATCTTCCCTTGCCCTGTTATCACCACATTTTTTGCCAGAGCCTCACAGGACTCCTCTTTGCAGATGCAGTAGAGTAGTTTTGACATAGGGCTCTGACAGGAGAAACACTTACGTGAAATAATGGGACAGTCCTCCCATTAATCTACGTTCTGACCCTTTCTGTCAATATCCATAGTTAATTCCTTTGTCAATATTTACTGTAGCATTGAGATTATCTCTGCATAAGCTTCCTCCATGTAATGGCCACTGCACTGTGCCTCAGCTCCTGCCTCGTGTCTCTGATTCCTTATAGACCAGTCTGCTTTCCTGGGGCTGACACTTATGATCCAGGCTCACTGTCCAAGTCCTTGGAAGAAACCAAACAGGTGGCATTCCTTACTGAACTCTTTGACAATGTGTCAATAAACTTTCTTTCTTATTGATCTTCTCCAGTTTCCCCACACGTTCCTGCACTGTGATGCCACACACTCCTTCCCCATCTGTCCCATGAATTTTCTTGAAAGATTTGCATGTGTTTTTGCTCCTTTAGTATGAGCAGTGTGGGGCAGCAGTTAGTCCAGAAAGATGTAACAGTTTCTGAGTCTGGAGAGCTCTTTGGAGATTTCTCCATTCCTGGACTGAGCTGTGCCCACCCACTGCCAAGAAACAAATACGGTGATTTTCCTACCAGAAAGACTCATGCATGTACCATACGATTACTTGTTAAATTTGGAGAAGTATCTGCTTATCTCTGGCTCCATGGACTGTGGAGTCAGCTGGACATCAATTGCTTTCAGCTTTGTAAATACCAAACCAGGTTAGCTGGGGATCTGTCTTCCTCCTAGGCATTGAAGCTAAAATTCTCTGGTGTGGACCCTTAACCAGAGGAGTCAAAGGATAGTTCAAGGGTGGGATTGTTTCCCTTATCGCAGCCCTGCCTGGCTATAATCCTTCTTACTCCAATAGACACCATGATGGAAGCAGACAAAAGTAGAGATTCTTTCACTGGGAATAGAAGGTAGAAGTATAAAATGGACACTGGATGAGGCCTCTTCTCTTTAACAGTCTCTGGGCCCAGAGAGGTTCCCATAGCTGCTGCTGTTTCAAAGGACATGCGAAAGCTCAGTCACACCAATGTTGGTCAGGCCTGCCTGATGCTTGACTGTAAAGTCCTGTTGACTTTACTCTGTTGGAGGGCTCTATGGGAATGGGAATGTCCTGTTTCCCTTCAAGGCTAGGTTCTGCAGCCTCTGGGAAAGCAAGTTGCCCACTCTACAAACTCCTGGTTTAGCATGTCAAGGGAGAGACTTTGTTTCTTTGCATCTGGTATGGGCAGTGCCCTCCTTGTGATGGGTCTCCGAGGCTGCTGCTTTAATCAGCTTGGAAAAAAAGAATAATTTTAGCATGCTGGAGTGATTTTTCTCCCATCAAAGTTTGCTTTCATTACAGTCTTTGATAGCTGTGAGTTTGTCTTCATCCCTAGAGGGTGTGACAGGGTTCTAAGAGCCACTTTACTGTCTGTTTTATTATATGTGAAACCTCTGTGTTTTTTGGTGATGTACCAACCTGAGTTCCAAAAAACAGCCCTGATGTTTTCTGTTGGCTGAAAGCAGTAGGACGCGTGTTCTCTCTCACACACTTGTGTGCACTTACAAGTTATTCATCTTGCCATCCAAACTGGAGAGATAATTCCTTACACAACCAGATGAGTTGACTGGTACAAGGAAACAGAAGAACAGTGTATTCATCTGTTCACAGACACTGCTGTGAATGAGATACACTGCTTTAGGGCCTTTGGCCTCCTCAGTTGAGTTGACCAAGTTCCAAAATGGCTTTAAGCAGAACTCAAGAAAAAGACTCATCTGTATGTGTTTTAAGCTGTAGTTGTAGATTGCAGCTATATTTCCAGTGTAGAAGGTGGCAGTACATAATGGCATATATTCGTGAACCAGGTGAACTCTTGCTGTTAAATGGGTTTAGTCTGACTGTTGTTAGTGTGCTTCTCAGGATCATACAAATATACAGTCACAGTTGGGAGTCAAGAAATAACACCAGGCAAGCTAGTGCTTGATATATCCAGAGAGGAGGAGGCTTCCTTCCATCTAACCTACTTTTGCATCTTTTTCTTGTACTGCTTATTCTGTTCCTGGCTTATAGTTCTGTGCTCCTTTCTGTCTGCTGGTTCTAGGGGTTTTAAGCAGGCTTGATAATTGACAGTCTAAATTTTACTGCTCATAAAAGCCCACAGAACATTGATTATGACTTAAGTTAAGCTACTGGCATATAAAATCTCACAGCCTTGCAGCCATGGGGGAATGTTATGATGAATGTATTTCTTGTGAGCAGCAAAAGCTTTGGAGTATTCTGCCAGCAATGTTCTGGGCATCAAATGTTACTAGTGACTTGCATCCACTAATAGCATTTCATTTGGAACATTTGCCCAAAACTTTGAAAGCTGATCATTCATTTGGGGGAGTGGGTGGGAGGTGTGCTGAGAGGCATCTTTCCTCTTTAATTATTTTTCTACTTCAGTCAGAACCAGGAAATGCAAAGGCATACACAGAGCTGAAAAAGATACCTCTTAGGAACGAAATTACAGTTTGTGGATAAAAACCACATAGATTTTATTGAAAATCTTTCCTTGACTGTGTTCCAAAGCCACTGTTACATTTTCCTTTTTCCTTTTATCTAAACTCCTGTTTAAACTTTGATCACTGGCTATTTCATGCACTTTGTCCAGAGTGGACAAAAAGAACAGCTTGCTCAGGTATTAGGTTCTTAGGTATTAACAGGAAATGTTTGTGTTTGAAAACAGTGAAATGTAATAACTTCTCAACAATGTTTTCTACATGATAGTAAAATAAAATCAGAACTACCTTCCAGGGAGAGTATGTTCTCCCAGCCAGGTGACTGCTTCACTCTGAAAGATTATGAGCAATGTTCTTTTTCTGTCTCTTCAGTTCCAGAAACCAAATGACTTCTCACCCCCTTTCCGCTTCGGGACAGTTCCTAATGGCAGCACAGAGAGGAACATTCGCAACAACTACCCTGAAATGCACAGCTACATGGTGAAGTTCAATCAGAGAGGGGTGGATGATGCATTGTTCTCTTTGAAGACTGGGTGAGGCTTTCTTCTTACATGTTTATTCGCTGCAGAAACCTGCCTATTTTACATGCTTGTCTGGAAATTTTTTTTGTGAGGTTTGAAAAATGAGCCTCTGTTATCTCTCCATGGTTAAAAGCGCAGGAAGCCATACATAGCACAGGAGAGTAACTCTGTTGTTCTTTTTGCTAGTTTTTTCTATTGACATCTGTTTAAGAGTTTCTGGGTTTGCTGTGTTTGTAAGACTATAAAACAAAAAAAATTAGGATCTACTGTATCCTTGTACATTAGCCATGTGTGTAGTAGTCCCAAAGAGCTTGCTTCATCAAGAGGTTTCATGCTGATGGGTTCTTATGCATACACAGGAAAAGCTCACAGATCTCGGTGGGCAAAGTTTTTTTTCAGAGCATTTATATTGTCATCTGGAAATTCCTTTGTTTTCCCTCCTTCTGTGTATAAAAGATTATGCTAATCAGAAAACTGAAACAATCCTTGTCAGACTAATTCCACCCCAGTGTATCACCAGCTAATAGAGTATAATGGAAGGTGCGTTTGAAGCAAATAGTTTGGAAGTTACCTACTCTGGAATATTTTAGTATCAAGGGCTAAACAAAATGTTATTTGAATAATAAGGAAGTATAAAAAATGTAAGCATTTCCTTGGTTAATTTGGGAAACATGGGAAAAATTGTTAACAAAAAGCATGCTGGAATAGCTCATCCTATTTTAATAGCAGTGAATCTGCAAAGGAACTAACTCAAAATGACATTTTGCAAGCCTTTGTCCTTTGTAGGTTGAAGACCTCCCAGAGCTGACCATTTTGGTTCTCAGAGCCCAGCCCCAGTGAAAAAAACATTTTTGCTTACACTCATGTTGCAGTCTTACGAGAAAGTTCATTCCAAAGCACAATGAAAATGTTCAGCCAATTTAATTACTAGATTGACTGAATATTGCTAAACCTGTTTGCCAGGTTCAGAGGCATGCAGCCCCTTATAAATGGTTGTACCATCGTTGGATGTCATCCTAGGAAGGTACATTTGCCAGGATAGTCATCATCCAGGAAATAAATATGCTCTGTCCTGGAAATATATGGATGAAATAGAGCTCATCACTTGTGGTAGATGTCATCCTGGCTTCATATCCACCCTTGGACAGACTTCCTCACAGATAAGCACTTGAACTCAGATAATCACATACTGGAAATATATGTGCAGGAGGTGGATTGTAAAGATAGTGTGCATTTGAGAATGTGCAAGCGGAAGGTCTTTGGTCGTTTATCTGAATGTGTTTCATTTCAGATCTAGTGGGAGGATTTACTCATCAGCTGTCTTTGGATATGTGGAAGATGCAGCACTCTGAGACTGCCCCCCACATCCAAATCAATTTGTTGCAGTGAGAGAAGGCTCTCTTCAGTCAACTGTGCTACTCAGCGCAGTCCATAATGGGGATTTCTCTGTGTTGAAACAGAATTTTTGTTGTGGTTTTCAGCTAAGCATTTTTTAACAAGGAGTTAGTCAGCATGGTAAACCATGAAGCTGCTATAGTAGCCACTTGACATTGGTAAAGATCCAGTAGTGCTTTTCACAGTAACTGAGGGGTTAAACATAATGTCCTGACTGTATTTGGTTTGAAAAAAAGACATTTTGCTCAGCTAAGGCATGTCAGCAGTTTGAATTGGAGATAATATTTTCCTTACTTCAACCCCTACTTTGCTATCTAATATTGATACATTTTACAAGGCATTTTAGATTCTTTTGAGATTAAAGGCAGTACAGAAATATAAGCTATTAATGGAATATAGATCCCCTTGACTTCCTCTTCATTTGACTTTATCTTGCAGTGTATTTTTATTCCAAATTTTCCTCCAGATCAGAAATTGTGATTACCAAAAAGTCAGAAAGAAATATACAATCCTTGTTTATAATCCAGCTTCTACCTGTAAACAGGTTCTGGGCTCAGATTTTAGTTAACTTTGGTGAAGGTGAAGATGACACACCTGAAGGACAGGATGTAATTCAGAGGGACCTGGATAAGCTTGAGAAATGGGCCCATGGGAATCTCATGATGTTCAACAAGATGAAGTGCAAGTTGCTGCACCAGGGTTGGGGCAACCCCCAACCTTCAGGCTGGGGGATGAACAGGTCGAGAGTAGCCCTGCAGAGAAGTACTTGGGGTTGCTGGTAGATGAGAGGCTGGACACAACCCAGCAATGTGGGCTCACAGCCCAGAATGCCAAGTGTATCCTGGGCTGCATCAAGAGCAGCCTGGGCAGCAGGTCCAGGGAGGGGATTCTGTCCTTCTCTCTGCTCTCGAGAGACCCCACCTGCAGTGCTGCATCCAGCTCTGGAATCTGCACCACAGGAAGGAGACATCAACCTTTTGGAGCAAGTCCAGAGGAGGGCCACCAACATGATTAGAGGGATGGAGCACCTCTGCTATGAGGAAAGGCTGAGAGAATTGGGATTGTTCAGCCTGGAAAAGAGTAGTCTTTGGGGTAACTTAATTGCGACCTCCTAGTACCTGAAGGGAGCCTACAAGAAAGATGGAGAGAGACTTTTTACAAGAGCATGTAGTGAGAGGACAAGCGGGAAGGGTTTCAAAGTGAAAGAGAGTAAGTTTAAATTAGGTATTAGGAAAAAATATTATTTAATGTGATCGTGTGAAGCTTTTTACTGTGAGGTAGTGAAGTGGATGCCCCGTCCCTGTGAGTGTTTGAGGCCAGGTTGGATGGAGCAACCTCGTCTAGTGAAAGATGTCTCTACCCACATCATGGGGGTTGGAACTAGATGATCTTGAAGGTTCCTTCCAACCCAACCCTTTCTATGATTCTATGTAACCTATTGTAATCCATCTGAAAGAGGTTAATTTCAGCCTTAATTACCTGAGAACACCTTTGAATTCATACAGATTCTATGCTTTCTGTAATACACCCTCTTGCTTCTTGCATCTGTGCAGGAAGTTGGATGCTTTCATTTATGATGCAGCAGTGCTAAACTACATGGCTGGCAGAGATGAAGGCTGCAAACTGGTGACAATTGGAAGTGGGAAAGTGTTTGCCTCCACTGGCTATGGCATTGCCATTCAAAAGGACTCAGGCTGGAAGCGCCAGGTTGATCTTGCCATTCTACAGCTTTTTGGAGATGGTAAGTGACAAGAAAAAGAGCTGCTGGAATTTTCCTAAGAAATACCAAATTTTGCATGTAAGAAATGGAAGTTTCTAGCTCTGGTGCTTCAGATTTGAGTTGAAAACATGAAATTATTAAAAAGGTTTGTTTAGAGGCATCACAGCAAAAATGTGAGGATATAATTTCTTTTGTGTTGTTGATGCAGGGTAGCAGTATCATCAAAAGCAATGTCAGAAGCACTGAAGTTTTCATAGAACAAGCTCAGATGTGTGTTTGAAAAAATACCTTATCTGAAGAATGTCTTGTAAAAACAAGATTTCTGTTATGAACTTTTTACTACCTTTGCAGTTTTGCTGTGACCAAACCCGCTAACTGTACTGTCTATGGTTATGTCATACTTTATAGTTCTAGACAGGATCAATCCATGTAGAGTTTGCCAAATTAAAGGATAAATATTTCTGAATGAAAGAGTTAGCTCAGAATTTCCAAAACCTCAAAAAATAACAAAAGCAAGGAAGAACCTGAAACTCATGTTCTGGAGTTTTGGAGTGAGTTTTAAATCGGAACATTAGAGTTACCTAGTTCATCTCTTAATTTACTTTTTTTGAATAAATAGAATTCACATGTTATTTTATTTATAAGTATTCCTTTTTTCCTGAACTCTGAAAATAATGTATGGTACTATAAATATGGAAAGAACATAAATTGGATATACTTCAGAAAACCGGCTGCCTGGCAGATAGGGCCTTCTGTTTCCTAAACAACCTAATATATATTATTTCAGAAAAAGATGTAAGTTCTCTATAAGCTTCAAAGACTCTGTTATAGCATCTCCTATATACATATTTGGAATTTTTCCCCCTTGTCACTGGACAGGAGATTGAAAATGTGAAAAACTAACTTTCCTAACAGCATGAAAAAATTTGCCAACCTGCAAAATCAGTTTGTTCTGAATGTCTCAATATGTGTGTGTGTGTGTGTGTATGTGTGTTTATCTCTCTCTCTCACCCCTCATGAAAATACCATAATGGGAGTAAGTGGTGTATGAAATTAGACTGCAGAACATTTGCTCCTAGCTGATACAAATTAGTAATGTTTTTGATTGGTCAAAGGGCTTGGAAGTGTTGAATTTGGACAAAATGGAGGGGAAGAAAAACAGGTGAAAATCCTTAAATGTTTTTGGGTACATTGCAATTGCACCTAGTTTTAATGAGCTGTGGATATGATAGAAACAAATTTGATTTTAAAAAATCAACATTTTGAATACTGAGTTGGAAATATACAATGTTTTCATTTTAAAGTGATTCATTTTTGTCTACCAGTATCAGTCACTAATTTTGACCTTCATTAACCTAATGATAGTGGAGGTTTGTGAAGCCAGGTCTTCAGTCATCTGGTGGGAAACTGTTTCAGAATCTCACTGTAGACAGCAAGTTTAATAGCTGTGTCCTGTGATAGGCTTTTTATGGCTAGTATCTGACTGTGGAAAAATCCTGTTGACCTTCTTGTGACAAATTGCACTTGCCCCCATCAGATGGGCAATCAGGATATTTTATGGACATTACAAATGTGGAAAAAGAACATGGAGACTGGAAATTACCATAGATCAGATTCTTGCTTTCAATCACCCTTTCAATTCATAGTTTGAGCTCTTTAGCTACTGCAGGACTACCTAACCTGTTTCTTTCCTTCTGTCTGTCTTTCTAGGGGAGATGGAGGAGCTGGAAGCTCTCTGGCTCACTGGCATTTGTCACAATGAGAAGAATGAGGTTATGAGCAGCCAGTTGGATATAGATAACATGGCAGGTGTCTTCTACATGCTGGGAGCAGCCATGGCCCTCAGTCTCATCACCTTCATCTGTGAGCACCTCTTCTACTGGCAATTCCGCCACTGCTTCATGGGCGTCTGCTCTGGCAAGCCTGGTGTGGTCTTCTCCATCAGCAGGGTGAGTGTCATTAACTGCCAGGGAAGTACAGAGGATTTATTCAGACAGTCCTAGGTACTGGAGATGGGGAAATCCACCAAGACTGTCTAACACACAGGTGGCATTGGGTGACAGTCTGCAGGATAAAGGCTGTCATCTTTGCACCATTAGTGTTGCAAAAATGTGTTAAGTTTTTCTGTGACATCTCTGGTCTCAGTTGGATTACGGTCATGGAAATGAAAATGCAGTATAAAGAGAAGGTAATTGTTACTGGCTGCTCCTCTGAAGGAGGAGCTCCTTGTGAGGAGACCAAATTTGGAAACCACCCCGAATTTGGGTTCAAGTAATGGTGGATAACGTGACTAGAAATTCAAGAGTTTTACATTGTCCCCTATATTACAGCTTTTCATCTGACCTTTTGTTAACTACAAGTGTGCCATCATTAACAACCAGAAGTCCTTAACCAAAAGCCATGCCCTAAACCGTACAGACATCCTTTGAGAGAGGATGACCACATAAACTTAGCAATTGCTTTATGCAAATCTGCCTTAGGGTATAGCATTTACATTTAAAGCAGATTCTAGCCATTTCTGAGTCATCTTTCTCCTATCAATGTTGTTAGCAGTATCCCATTTGGGGTTTTTTTTCCTTCTTTCAAGACAGTTGTCCTTTCTCCTGATCCATTCTGAAGTAAGGTCAAATCTTGGCGTTTTTTAGGTCAGTGTCTGATGTAACAGAATTTACTTTGATTGTGCAAGGAGTATATAATTGCTGCATAACATATTGAGGAGAAATGACAAAGTCCTTTGAATGCAGGGGCACAGCCTCTCTTCTATATTAGTTTCTAGCATGGTTTAGTCTGGATATAAGATGGGGACTTGTGTTTGGTGATCCTTAGCTAAGTACAGAGCCTTTCGGGAGCCCCCGGTAGTTTGGGAGCCCCCAGTAGTCTAGGGGAAAAGACACTGCGCTGTCACTGCAGAGACCTGGGTTCGATTCCCGGTCGGGGCCCCTCCCCGGGCAGATGGAGCTCGTTAGCCCTGTAAGGCAATCCATCTACGTCCTGAGGACCTCGCTGCCACCGTCCAAAGCGTGCTTGGCCCCGGCAGACGAACCTCAGGATTAAAGGGTGGGCTCAGTTCCGCGCACACTGTGTCTCACCTAAAAAATCCAATGCGCAGGCTGGAAGGTGAAAAGACCTTCCCTGGTTCTTCGTTCGCGAAGAGACTGGCCATTATATATACAGAGCCTTTCATTCTGCGGTTATCTGTTAGACGTGGGCCAGGTTGACAAAAGATCTGAAAAGTGTTAATCATCTGCTAGCTGCCGAGAAACCATGGTAACATGGTGTGATGGTGTCCATTTCACAATTGACATTAACCATCAGACGCCATTTAGCAGACCAGGGAATAAAGGAGCCCCTTCTGTTCTTAGGGGTAGCCCTTGTCAACAGTCTGTGTCATGGATGAAATAAACTTGTGGAGGATGTGGGGGAATTGGGAACTTCTGCTGTCTGATTTGAAGGTGAATAGAGGACTTTCAGGGATCTCAGTTTGAAACCTGTTATCACTGTTGAATTTAACAGAATGCAATTAAAAATTCTGTTGTACCTCAGTCAATCAGATGCAGAAGACCTAAATAAAAATTCAACAGTCCTGCTCTTTCTCTGTATCCATTTCTAATCCTTACTGGTGATTAATGTAGCTAAGTTTATGACAAATGAAGCTGTTCCCTTTTTAAGATAGCTCCTGCCTCGTTGATTCCCTGATGTCCAGATGAATTTCAAGGGCCAAAATGGACTTTCTTACTCTTATCTACACAGAATTGTTTGTCTTGATGCTTTTATTCCCAAGGATATTATTGTCTCCATTTGTAATTCTACACTGCACCTACTAGATTTGACTAACTCTTAGAGGGTGCCAGCAGGTATTACTGCATCCTACAGATATGACATGAAGCAAAGCAGAGGAAGAGGAATGGAGGAAAAGGAAAAAATGTGAGAGGCAAGAAAGAGGGGCAGAATATCAAGAGCAGATCTGATTTCATTTGATTTGATTGTGTTTCAATGATGGAAGGCTGACAGGCCTTACTGTCCTACAGAAACATGCTCATGCTGCACAGGGTGCTTCCCAGTCCAAGTCCCCTTTTGTGTATTCTTTGCAGGACCACTCACCTTCCTGGTTTCTCTCATTTCAGGGTATCTACAGCTGCATCCACGGCGTGGCCATCGAAGAACGCCAGTCAGCAATGAACTCCCCCACTGCAACTATGAACAACACTCATTCCAACATCCTCCGCCTGCTTCGGACAGCCAAGAACATGGCCAACCTGTCAGGGGTCAATGGCTCACCACAGAGTGCCCTAGACTTTATCCGCCGCGAGTCATCAGTCTATGATATCTCTGAGCACCGTCGCAGCTTCACCCACTCAGACTGTAAGTCCTACAACAACCCCCCCTGTGAGGAGAACCTCTTCAGTGACTATATTAGTGAGGTGGAAAGGACCTTTGGCAACCTGCAGCTGAAGGACAGCAATGTGTATCAAGACCACTACCACCACCACCACCGCCCCCATAGCATCGGCAGCACCAGCTCCATTGATGGGCTCTATGACTGTGACAACCCACCCTTCAATGCCCAGTCACGGTCCATCGGGAAGAAGCCCTTGGACCTGGGGTTACCTCCTGCCAAGCACAGCCAGTTGGGTGACCTCTATGGCAAGTTCTCCTTCAAGAGTGACCGCTATGGGGGCAGTGGGACCCATGACGACCTGATTCGCTCAGATGTTTCAGACATTTCCACTCACACGGTCACCTATGGCAACATCGAGGGCAATGCGGCCAAACGGCGGAAGCAGCAGTACAAGGACAGCCTAAAGAAGCGCCCAGCATCTGCCAAGTCCCGGCGGGAGTTTGATGAGATAGAGCTGGCCTACCGCCGGCGCCCGCCCCGCTCACCTGACCACAAGCGCTACTTCAGGGACAAGGAAGGGCTACGGGACTTCTACCTAGACCAGTTTCGGGCCAAGGAGAACTCGCCGCACTGGGAACATGTGGACCTGACAGATATCTACAAAGAGCGGGGAGATGAGTTTAAGCGGGACACAGGAGGAGGAGGAGGAGGGGGTCAATCCTGCACCAACAGGGCCCACCACAAGCACGGCTCGGGCGAGTTTGGCGGAAGCAATGAGCACAAGCATGGTGTTGTGAGTGGGGTCCCAGCTCCATGGGAGAAGAACCTGACCAATCTAGACTGGGAGGACCGGACCGGGGCTAATTTCTGCCGCAGTTGCCCTTCTAAGCTGCACAACTACACGCCATCAGTGGTGGGTCAGAATTCCACCCGCCAGGCCTGCATCCGCTGTGAGGCTTGCAAGAAAGCGGGCAACCTGTATGACATCAGTGAGGACAACTCACTCCAAGAGCTGGACCAGCCACCTGCCCCTGTGCCCGTGGCCACCAGTGCCACCTCCTCCTCCAAATATCCTCAGAGCCCTTCCAATTCTGCCTCCAAGGTGCAGAAGAAGACCCGCAACAAGCTCCGCCGGCAGCATTCCTATGACACCTTTGTGGACCTGCAGAAGGATGACTCAGCCTTGGCCCCCCGCAGCGTCAGCCTCAAGGACAAGGGCCGCTTTTTGGAGGGGAGCCCTTACGCCCACATGTTTGAGATGCCAGCTAGTGAGACCACCTTTGCCAACAACAAGTCCTCAGTGCCCGCCACCAGCTACCACCACCACAACAACCCCGGCAGCAGTGGGGGCTACATGCTCAGCAAGTCGCTCTACCCCGACCGGGTCACCCAAAACCCTTTCATCCCCACTTTTGGGGATGACCAATGCTTGCTCCACGGCAGCAAATCTTATTTCTTCAGGCAGCCTGTGGTGGCAGGAGGGCCCAAAGCCAGGCCAGACTTCCGAGCCATTGTCACCACCAACAAGCCGGTGGTCTCAGCCCTTCATGGGGCTGTGCCAGCCCGTTTCCAGAAGGACATCTGTATAGGGAACCAGTCCAACCCCTGTGTGCCTAACAACAAAAACCCCAGGGCTTTCAATGGCTCCAGCAACGGGCATGTTTATGAGAAACTCTCCAGTATTGAGTCTGATGTTTGAGTGAGAAGGGAAGAGCGTGGGGAGGGACTGGGGGTGTATGTGGGGCATGGGAGGGTGGGGTGGGATCAATCCCATCAACTACTCTTCTGAGTCGTCCTTAGTTTGTGGGATACTGGAGTTCTGAGTAGTGCAGCACTGGTGACAAGTGCCACCTCTTTGGTGTCCCCTCTTCCTCCTCCCCTTTCTCAACCCTCCCGTTTTATCTCTTTTTCCATGTTCTCGCTCCTCCCATTCTCCTCCTCTCCATTCCTGGCCATTGCACTTTACAGTGATGTTGGAGTTGGATATCCTTGCTTGTGACTTCAGAAAGCAGAGAAAACGGCAGGGAAGGGATGGGCTGAGGAGGAGCAGCAGTGACTGTAGTGTTTCACTTCTGCTGGCTCCCAGCAGAGAAAAGCATGTGCACACACACGTGTGTGTGTGTCAGGAGGAGGCAGCAGAAGCAGTGTAGTGGACATGCAGGAAAATGTGCTTGCTCAGGCAACTCTTCCTAAAACTGCCTACAAAAGAATAGTGTTTAAAACATGGAGAAAGTGAAGGGGGAATAACACGACTAACTTGATGATGCACTTATATGTTAGCTATATTGAGGTTCTTGTTACATTATTTTGTGAAGACTATGGGGGTTTAGGGCTGAAATATATATATATATATATTTGCGTATATGCTGAGAAATTTTACGCTAGAATTTTGAATTGTCTGCTGGGGGGGTGTGGAGGGAGGGAGAGAAGGTTTGTCTGCAGGTCAGGCTAGTGGTTTCACTTCGGCTATTACAGCCATTGAATCTGTGGCAGACCAGTGGGAGAGATAGATAGGCAGTGGAGTCTGAGTTTGGGAAAGCTGATCAGCAGCCTCTCTGATTTCAGGGTTGGTTTTCCGAACTCTGACAAAAGATGCTGGTTTGCACTGAAATGAGAAGAGTTTGGGAAAAGGGGAACAGGGTTGGTTCATTAGCTGTAAACTGCTCACTAGGTGTGACATACTTCAAGGGTGGGAGCAGTATATAGTATGGGTCGGCCTATATGCGAGTATATATGATAACTTTATACTTGAAATGTCTGTGAACCTGTAAGGTGTCTGGAGAACAAACACAGCGGAATGGAACTTAAGAGTAGGGAAAGGTGGGGAGTTTTTTCACTGTCGCTTCAGGGGACACCAAGCCCATTTTGGTCATGTTCTTTCAGTGAGGAGGGGAGGAAAAAAAAGGGATTTCATCCTTCTGCTCTCCCTACTCTTGGCCAACAGGTTGGAACAAAAAGAATAGGGTGCCCTCTGCCAATGCTGGCATGGTGCTGGAGAGGAAAAAAGAAATTTCATGGAAGGGTATGTGTGGTGGCAGTGGTGCTGGTGGACTGTTTCAATGCCTCCTCGCATGTGTGGAAATGGGAGGAGGGTGTATGCACCCTTGGGAAATACATATGTATATTTACTATTGAATGTACAGAGGAAGTACACAGCTTGTCTTCCTGGGAAGGGGTGTGCTTGAATAAATGCCAGAGAGCACAGAAGCTTGTGCTGAAGGCTGAAGAGAGGACGTGCAAAGCTGAGATGTGTGTGTACATGTGTGTGTGCCTCTGTGTGCAAGAGAAAGATACTAGCACAGGTGCAAAGCTGGAATAGCCTAGGGTTTCCCATCCCTGCAGTTGTAGTGACAGCTTTCCTGGTGCACTTAGTATCGATAAGAGTGTTTTTTCTTTCCATTGTATTATTTTAGATGCAAGTTAAACTAAAGGAAAAGGAGCAATGGTAGGAGTGAGAAGTGGAACACCCCTTTCATATGTCATCTTTCTCCTGAGGTGAGGGTGTGGACTTACCTCTCCCTCCTGAGAGATATGGCAAAGTCTCCACTACTTATTCTGGGTCTGTCCCAGTGTCTCAATCACCATGGCTCACCAGGGGAAGGAAGGGTTGAGAGAGTCCTGTGCTGAGAGCAGGGGTACACTGCTGGGGATTTACTCTGAAGGGAGATGGCAACCCTGTCTTTATGAGCCACATTTCTTGGAGCTGAAAGCCACCTCTCTCACATTCCTCACCACACCATGGTTGATTTTATCTTATCTTTCTCTTTTTAAGCCAAGAGAAGGCCTTTTATTTATTTACCTATTTAATTTATTTATTTTTTAAGCTGGGGCGGGGGAGGGTGGGATTTACCTGTAAAGTCAAAGAGTGTGAGGAGAGGGTGGGCAGGGTTGGTGATGGGAATATTTTCTTATATTTCACTGAGGAAATCAAGGAGGGAAGAAGGGGAGAGTCTTTGTGATGCCACCCCTTAGTCTTTGAGGTAAGGGAACTTCTTACTCTTTCCCTCTTCTCTAATTACAAGAACAAATAGGAAAAGAAAAAAGGAAAAAAAAAAAAAAAGAAACCAAACAAATTAACAGAGCGATCTGCAATCCAGAACACACGGCAGCTTGTCAGACACCTCTGACAGCAGCCACCAAGAAGGCGTTCCTTTCATTTGTAAATATTTCTTTTTTATTGCGTTTTTGTATAAATCGGTGTTTCTCTTCTCGTGAATATTCAGGTCGTGGGGTGGGAGGGAGGGGAAGTTTGTTTCTGTTTTGTTTGTTTTCTATGACTTTTCAGGCTGCGTTTTGGAAGCGGTTTACGCAGGTCGAGGCCGTATGAGTGAGAAAAAAAAAAGAGAGAGAGAGAAAGAGAGAGAGAAACCCATGTGTGTTGTGTTCCCCTGAGGCCCCCTGTATTGCCCTGTCACCTTTATCTTCATGAATGGAAGACGCCGGAACGTCACTTCAAGCCTTGCCAGCAGGGTTTCATGTTTTGATGGGAACACCCCCAATTCCTTTTTGCATACAAACTCTCTGTACCAGCATCTCTCTGTGGAGCTTGGGCCTCAAGGCACTACACTGTCTTGATAGTAGTGGGGTGAACCATCAAGTTGGCCGCTCAGGTTGGACCATCACTTTGACATTAAGAGACTTCTCCAATGCTACTTTGGTTTAGAAATCTTGGACCTGGGAAAGCTTGTGCTAATTTCTGGTATTTCCTAAGGGCTTGGGGTGGGGGAGTTTGACAGCTGATGAGGGCAGCTAATCTCTTTGGTGGTTATCTCGGTACTTTTCCCTCCCTCCCCACCTGGAACAAGAAAACCTGGAGGGTGGCTCTGCAGGGAAATTAAGCTGAAAACAAACCAAAAAGAAGTTAATGGAACTTTTTTCAAATCTCTTCTTAAAGGTTCTGATTTTTGTGTTTTGGGTTGAAAGTTGGTTCGTATTTTCTCCGGACTGCTCTGTCCCTTGTTCCACTAATTGGCAAATGATAGTTTGCCAAAATCATTATCTAGTATTGATACTGTTGTAGCACTGTTAACACTTCGAGTGCTCTGCAAATATAACTGTGCCACAAGCCACTCAAATGAATGCTCTAGGGCAACCAGAAAAGAAGAACTGGAAATTCTGGACTGAACCACTGGTCTAAACACAGGAGTCTGGTATTTTGCCTTCTCCCACAGTAGATTAGGCCATGTGTCCATCAGGTTAATCCTTTCTCCTATAAGCGATCTTTTCTGGTTGCTTTGTTTATTTTAGTTCTGACAGGTCAACAAGTTTTGGGACAGAGATGAAGGGGAAGGGGAGGGAGGGGGGAGGGTGTAATTCATAATCCAGAAAATAAATCAATGATGTTATTAAACTCTGATTATATATTTAGAATTTTAGATTTGGTGTATTTTCATTGTAAGTCTTCAAGTGAATCAAACAGGTAATATTAGCAGCAGGTGTTGTCTATACTAGGAAACGACCCATGTGCTGTTTATTACCGGGCCAGAAAAGAATGGAATTTCATACCAGAGCCTGACAAAACTCCATATCCCTTCCCTTGCCATTTCTCTCTCTCTACTGTCGGAATACCAGTATTTTCTGGGGCAGTGGCTGGGAACATTTCCCCTCTCTGAAGGTTTCTGCACACAAGAATACTGAGCAAAATCCGTCGTGTCCTATACAGTTTGGTGACCTCTACTGAATATTTGCAGCCAGCCTCCCAGGGAAGATTAGGCGCCTTTGGCAATGTTTCTGACATTTACCTCTTCACTTTTAGCCTCAGGCATGGCTCAATGAGAGGTATTTTCATGTTCTTCTGAAGTGGTTCTGGAATATATGTATTCAGCTGAAGGAGGATGTGTATGAAGGAGACGGAAGAAGTATTCAGAAAATACCAGAAATGTGCCATTCACAGTGGAAAGCAACTGGCAGGTAGAACTTGCAGTCATGGATCTCCACATCATAAACATTGTTGGAGTATTCACACCAGCTTTTTACTGTATTGCAACACAACACAGGCTGGTGTAGTAGTTCTTTGTCTCCCATCACGCCTCCCTGTGAGGGCAATATCAGAACTTTCAATGTCACATCCTAAGTAGGAAAGAAAAGCTGCAGTCAGGACTTGTTGTCAGTTGAGACAATGAAGCACACCGGCCCCACCTCCTCAATAACAAAAAAACCCCCATTCTCTCTGAAATCCAGCATGCACTGTCAGAACTTTCCAGGCAAGAAACCCAGTAGGTTCAAAATGCTTAGCAATATGCAAGTATGAATTTGCCTGTAGGAAATCAGTTTCCAGCATGTGGGGGGAGGATATCCTTCCCCCCCCCCCTTTTTTATTTTTTTTTGATTTTTTGTAATATCCTGTAGGATTTGGTGGAGGAGTTAAGAGTTGCTAGGATGAGCCTCTTCTTCAGCAATGCTTGCTGATGTTGAGCTCTTCACTTTAAAAAGACACTAGCATCCATCTTGAATAATGCCCCTGTGTACATTCAAATAGGTTTTTCTCACAGCAAAATTGCCAGCAAAAGGGAGAGGGGGAGACAGACAATATGATGGTGGTGACAGGTCAGAGTGATCAGAGATACCTCAGGGATCTTTACAGGCAAGTCTTTGCTTTAGAGCTTTCTATCAAATATGGCAAATCCTCCCACCTACATTGCTTATCAACAGATGGAAAGAAGCCTGGGAACACAGCCAGTGATCAGACTTAGGCCTTTCACACATCCTCAACTCCAGTCAAACAAC